AGCCAGTCCTTGACCAACGCCAAGATGTTTACTGATGGACTCTGGCGGTTGGGTATACCGAGTGTCTCTGCAATGCTTGCGAACGCTTGCTTGAAGCGATCCTCATTGCTGGCGTACACCCACAAAATCGACATATCAGGACGCGATTTCCGCAGCCAATGTACATAAGACAGAGCTATCTGTGTTTTCCTTCAAAGGGTTAGCGCATGATAGTCTCAAAATACCTGCGGGTTAACTCACCCAACCCCTCCAAGACCGTAGATGCAAGCTCTCGGCTCCGCGTCGTTTGTATCGTACTGAGGTCCATGGCAGAACGTTCGTTTAAGACGTTCGAAGACGTCAGATCGGCCAACAAAGTTCTTGTTCTTTCTATAAGGTACAATAACTACGATTCCCAATTAGTCGAATCATTTTGATATATATGTGATGCTACGTACAATGAGCGACACCACCGTTGCCAGCATGATCCTGCTGGTCTGTAGTCGTACCAGTTTGGCCAGATCTTGATACCAAGGGATTCAGTGGCGAGCTGGTGATCGGTTTGGATCGATTCATAGACTTGGTGAATCGTCGAAGCTCACCACAGACGTCAACGAAGCCAGAGTCCTCCGGCCCAGTGAATTTTGCCATCGAACGGTGATTCCCATGTATCCCTAAACAACCTTTCCCGGGAATGATGGCGGAATCTTGAGGCACGACCTGTCCAGAATATGTTAACCACGCGTAATCCATGACATCTGAGTCCTAGAACTCTAATTACCAGGCCGATGCCAACGATCGGTAGTTCCTCAAAGAAACAAGTAATCTCAATGTCAACTTGTTGCAGCATCGTGTGAAAGCTGTCTTGAATTTCGGCCAAAACCTCCGAGTCCGGGCGAAGCAAATCAACGATGTTGGGGTTTGTTTGCTTCAGTATTCCTACTGATCGAGAGAAGCGATCTGCCCACACTGCGAGGGCCGATCCGTGATGAGGAGTCCCAAGAAACAGGATTCCGCGAGTTGACTCAGCCACGCTGCTGAGGTGCGGTTCAGGCCTGTGATGGGAACGGACGAGAGCCTGGCCCGGATGTCACAATCAGCTTTTCAGCCTTGACGGGCACAAGGTAGAGCTCAGGCTACGGCCGGACTCAACAGCGGATGTCGGGGGCGGGACTCACTGCTTTACATAGCAAACCTCCCAGACTGTGGCACACGAATATGAGTGGGCGCTCCTGCTTGGCTTAGCTTCTCCCTTCAGATATCGGAGCTTCAATATCGGGTACTGACCTCCTTGTCATCCTTGGCCCGGTAGTTGGCGAGCCGTGTGAGAAAGGTCGATGCATGATCTCTTATGCGGCTGACTGAGACCATTTCCTTTGGGCTCGTAACTCGTGCATCGTATCCATATGCTAAAATTCGAGCATTAGGCAACTCCGAAGGCAGAAGGACTTTGGGCCACGGCTCGGTCATGTTGTCAGTGGTCCAGCTGTTTTCTCTGTGCCCCATCAAGCCATGAATGAAGACGATACTTTGCGGATTGTCAGCGCGTGAACCGCACCCGACTTGGAACAGGCAGAGTTACTCCACGGCAGCTCTGTCTCCATCTGGGTCATGGAGTAGTCTTAATCCCGAGGGAGGCGTCACTTGCTTGGAGACATTGGGCGCAGCTGGCTGTGTTGGAGCACCCGTGGATGCCGGTTTGTTGGCGCCCTCTGACCCGGCCGGTGATGCACCCCCAATCGCTTGCGATTCTCGGCCATGGTGTTTACGGAAAAGCTTCTTCATGTTGACTACCGCGTCAAGTCCAGCTGCTTCCCTTCTGGCCCGGTAAGCCTGTTTATGTTGTCAAAATCAAAGACAGAAGCCCCAGGGCGTGTTCGTAGCCTGATCTGCTCGTCAAAAGAGGGGAAGGCTCTGATTTGATGCGTCTTATTTGGTGGGCGCTTCGACGAGGCAGCCAATCGGTTCCCAAGTTGCCTTGGCTGCTGTTTTTCGTTCGCATTGGACCATTCTAAGCCCCCGTAAGATTCGGTAAGCAAGTAACCCGGGTAAGGCATGGGATGGCACTCGTTGAAATATAGTACCAGGTTAGAATGGCCCGGGATTAAACATGAGAAATGCCGTACGTAGGCAAGGGCGACTGCATGCACGTAAGTAAATCATTGCTCAGCATGAATGGTATCCCAAGTTCTTTGTATGTAATCTTCTCTAATCCAATTGCATTGTCACATCGTCGAACGATGTGCCGACAACCCTTACCGAAAGCAGGCCATACACCATACCCAGCCAAACCGAACCATGTGCCGAACCTACGTGTATGAGAAATCGCTCGCTAATCACCAGCCACCGGGGGGAATCATGAAAGTGTACCCAATCCATGCCGAACATCCACATATCCAGCTTCCAAACTAGAAGGAAAACATCACGTCATAATGTCAAGCTGGCCGCTCGGCTTAGAAGGCCGCCGCCCATCGCTGCATCGTGTTGATGAACATCCTAAAAATGAGCCCGGCGGCTCCGACAACAACAAAAACTTGCGACAGCTCCCACAAGTGCTTCAGGCGGACCTCTGTCTCGATGTATCCCTTCTTGTTGTCCTCGCTTGGCGGAAAGCGGCCGTTGACGAGGTACTCCTCCATGAGGGCGTCCTTCTCGTACCACCTCTCGCGCACCCAGGCGTCGAATTCCTTCTGGTCGTGGAGAGGCATGTCGGCGACGCGGAAACGGCGCCAGTGGAAGTTGACCGATTTCGGGGGCCGGCCCTGGAAGTAGGTGCTCGCGAGGGTGAAGTAGGACTCGCCGTACTTGCCGCGACTGGAATGTTGTTAGCTCGTGTCTCAGACGGGACCGGCCGGTGCCAGGAACTTACGGGACGCCTTCGTATGCGACAGTGCAGTCGTAAACGTAGTCCAAAGTCCCCTTCAACTCCTTCAAGCAGAAGTACATTCCGGTGCTGCGCGGGAGCAGGAGGTGCTCAGGGTCCTTCAGGCCTGTCTGCTCCGCCCATGCCGCTGACTTCCTGCGGCCGTTGCCTGACAAATTTGTGCCTTCGGGGAAGAGAAGCAGCCACATCGGGTCGCGGTGCTTCTTGCCACTGGGAGTAGTGTGTTCCATCTTCAGCTTGCCGAGGCGATGGGCCAGGCGCGGCTGGTCCGTCGACATCTTGCGCGACATGAAGATGAAGCCGTAGAACATCATGCCCCAGCCGACGAGGGGGATGTACTTGAGCGACTCCTTCAAGATGATGTAGATGTGCCCATGCATGCCCGGCTCGTTGGCGTACGCCACCCACCAAAGGTACAGCCAGTCGGTATAGATCTGGTGGTTCGCGATCAGGATCAAGCGCTCGGGGAAGTCGAACTCGACGCCACCGCCGGGTGTCTGCCGTATTTGCCCCGCTACCGATGCATCACCACTTATCCGAATCTTCGTGGGGCCCCAAATGTGCGTCATCGCGGTCGTGGTCAGGGCGAAGGACTGTTTCGTCAGGGCCATGTAGGCGTAGTAGAGCTCGCGGTTGACCAGGTACAGGCCGCAGCCCATCAGCTGGGTGATAAAAATACTAGAGCAAGCTTCAGGTTAGCTGTGGTCTTCCTCATCGCAGAGCAGAGCGGGGTCGGGAGCTTCGTACCTTGCGCAGCATGCTGCGAAATAGACGGCGAAGGAGACACCGCGGAGGATCTGCATCAGCTTGTTATGCTTGATACGACCCGCAGGGTGCGCATCGACTGGTTTCCTGAGCAAGCCAGCATTTGGACCTGGAGCTGGGACCGCAGCGTCTGCCTTCTTGTGTACGTCGGTCGCCATGATCGCGGGGTAATGTTGGAGGTTTCGGTCGGTTTGGGAGAGTATCGCAGGTTCGAAAGGCATGCGGAAGAGGAGTTGGAGGTTTCTCGTATGTCTGACGTCAAGCGGCGAAGATCGAAGGTAGATAGGGGTCGGTGGAGAGCTTCGTGGCGGGTTGATGAGGAGTCGTCTTCGTGGTGTCGCGTGCGAAGGGCATGTGAGACGGGCAGCTGGACGGCAAGCTGGGATGCTGCTTGGTGGAGGACACCAACGACGTCTTCAGTTCGGGAAGAGTACAATAAGGTAGGGTCAGATAGGTAAAGGTAGTTAAGGTACCTGCGGCTAGGCAAAGGCAAACTTAAAAGTACTTGGTAAGGCGAGGAGGAAACAAAAGACGGACGATGACAGAGACATCCGCATGGAACATGGAACGATAGCGACACTGGTGAGAGTCATGGGTTTGGTCTGGTCATGGTCTGGTCATGGTCATGGCTTCCATGTCTGGAACCGAGGCGGCCGAGCGCAGCGCAGGCAGGTTCAGGCTCCGTCCGCCGGCTTGATTTTGGGCGCCGAATATGGACGGGGAAGGAGTCAAGAACCCCTCCAACCATCCGACCCGACGGGTGGTGCTGCCTTCCCGTTCGCTGGTGGTGACGCTGTACTGCTTGCTGCCTTGGCAGCCTGCGACTGCTGTCTGCAACTGCGACTGCGACTGCGACTGTGGCGCTGCCGGCTTCCTCGGAGGGAGTCTGGACCCTGCCCACCCAGCTCTTGCCCGTCTTTGGTGCTGCCTGCAGGCAAGCTGTCATGGCGCTAGCTGCAAGGAGGATAGCGTCATGGTGGGGCACGCGCACGGATCTGGATGAATGCGGCGTGACGTTATGGATCAACAGAACAGCCGAAGTCCGGCCCCAAGTGCCCCACTCATTTCCGGTTTTCGAGGTCGGTCGGTGCCTTCCGAGCCAATCCCGCCGCCTGTTTTTCGCATCGATCATTGGCACGTGTGCCTACACCGAGATGAGCCACGGGTGAGCTCAAGGTGAAGCCTTCACCGGCGCTCTCCAGAGCACTGATGGAGGACCAGCTGATCCAGCTGACTGCATCCCGAAGCATGCATGCATGCACGGCACAGACAGAATCCTGCAAACCCGTTTGAAGTTTTAATCTTTTGGCATTTCAAACTTACTGCATAACGTACATACAGATCTTTCCTCCTCAGACGGGCCCCACCTCTCTCAGTACTGAATCACCAGCTTCGTCGCCGAGACCCCTTTCTTGAGCCGCTCGAGCCCAGCCTGAATCGACTCCAGCCCCTTTCCCACCACTTCGGGATCTGGTTTCGCCTTCAGTTGACCGTTCTTGAGCGCTCCGGGTACAAATTCTCTCCAGACCGGATCACCGACTTCTTCAGGGTTCTCTGTGATTTGAAAGGCCGTTTCTGTGAAAAATGTTAGAATTATTCCGCCAGCTTTCCATGATAACTGACCAAACGATATGAGCGCATTGTTCCCAAACTCTCCCTCCACAGGCAGCACCGTCACCACTTTGTGCGGCCCAAGCTTGTCCAGAATAGCGCCGATGGGCTGCAGAGATTGAGGAGAGGAGATCGCATCGTAGACCCCCGCAAGGTCGGTTCCAGACAATACCCTGATGGCATCGTCGACGACAGTTGCAGAATGGTAGTCAAGAACGGTGTCAGCTCCCAGTTCTTTTACCTTCTCAAAGTTGGCTTTCGAAGCTGTCGTGATGACCCTCAACCCCGATGCAACCGCAAGCTGCACCGCCGTTCCGCCAACTGATGAGGCTCCGCCCCATACAAGCAGCGTGTTGCCCGTTGGTGCTGGTGTTAAGCTAGGTAACGGCAGGCCGAGATACTTCTTTTTGTAAAGACCGACGGAAGCAGTTGCGATGGCGAGCGGGAGCACCGATCCCGCCTCAAAGCTCATGTCGTCGGGGATCGGGGAGACGAGGTTTGCGGTGGCTTTGCTGTAGAGCTGAAAGGTCCCGAACTCATGGTTTTGGAGACCAAGACCGGTGCAATACCTAACTCGCGATGAGTGACTGTTAATCGATCAAGAACGAGATTGTGGACACACCCTACCACTCGCTGGCCCTTTTGTAGATGCGTGACACCCTCGCCAACCTCTTCGATATATCCAGCAGCATCCGCTCCTAAGATGGTTGGATATTTCTGGACGATCACCCCGAGATCTCTGGGTTCAAATAAGCTTCCCATCTCACACGCTACTGCGTGCATTCTTACTGGATTTTCCACTCAGCGGGATTCTGCCTTCAAGTCAGTTGCATGGTATTTTACTTGCAGGACTGCCCCATGAGTGCAGCATTACAACTCACCAAAGCAGTAACAACATTCCTAATCACAACCTCTCCCGACCCAGCCGTGGGAAACAGGGCATTCTTTATTTGGAAGGGATATGACTTTGGCTCGGTGAGCCAGGCAGCTCTGTTGGTAGGCATATTGACTTGCAGCAGCTTGGGGTTAACAGCGACGAAGGGGAAGGGGTACTGTGGTTTAGCATGGGCAGACTTCGCACTAGATACCACTGTCACTCTAAGATATACTTCAACAATTCGGCGAAGACGGAAAACCGAAAATTCGTCCGAAATTCAGTTCCAGCGGCACAAATCATCGACAAACCATCCCTCGAAGCGGGGCCGAAAGGCGTCCGTCGGATAGTGGAGGGATCGTCGGGTTCGCGGTGGGCGTTCCGAAAACTCTCCCCTACTATGACGACCCCGTATTCAACATACTTGCATAGATGGCGGCATCTAGGCGAGGTTTTCCTCTTCCGACCAAATTTCGTAGGAGTTTTCAGAGGTTGCATTTGATGCCATCAAGTTAGATGCCCCCTGTGAACCAAACACACAGAATTGCCCCAACTTTAGCGCTCGTTCAGACTCAGTCCATCACTGGATTGAGCTTGACTGCCTGCCCGCAGCTAATTTTCCTCCCCAAATTCTGCCAGCACAGAATTCACAGTCGTGTTCCATGTCAAATCAAGTCCACCTCGTTCTCTCCCGCCAACACGTCCCGATATCATCTACCCACTAACAGCACAGCATGACAGGTTCCCCAGACTGCCCGCAGCTGTAAAGGGTACCTCTCCGCCCCGCACGACCACTAGCACGAAGCCAGCGGATCCCTGCCCGCCGTATATGAGCCCCAAATCTCGCCTGAAATCGCATCCAATTGGCCTGCTGGCGAAATGGCATCGCGTCAGATTTCGGCTGCTCCAAGTCATACTCTGAAGATTCTAGGTTCGATCCCTGGGTAGGTCGGGATACATTTTTGCGTTTTCCACAACATCGTTTTTAATCTTTTCATGAAGATTTTGGGATTCTCAACGGATGAGGTTAAGTTCGCGGCGTTTCTGAAGGCCTTTTATGCCAGCAGCCTGGATAAGCTGAAATCTGGAAATCATCTTGTCACGACTTCATCTGGCTACTCGAGAATGATGATACAGGGCCGTACACATATCTTTAAGCTAAGTTGAGTTACCTACTTGTGTGTGATATTAAGTACGTCTTCTGCTGCTTCTACGTCTGTCTGTCACTGTGGCTGCCATTGCCATGATCTCCGTCATTATCATCATATTTGTCCCTGTTCTCGTCCGTCGTCGTCGTCGTCGTCGTCCTCGTCCTCGTCCTCGTCCTCGTCCTCGTCCTCGTCCTCGTCCTCGTCCTCGTCCTCATCCTCATCCTCATCCTCATCCTCATCCTCATCCTCCGCCTCTTTCACCTCTTCTGCCTCCTCGTTCTCGTTGTACGTCGTCGTCGATGGTGCTGCTGCTCCACCTCCCCCGTCCCACGACTCGACAAGCGGTCGGCCTCATCCGTGGCGTGTTTGGTGGGGAGGTGCCGCTGATTGTTGTTGCGGCGCGTTGGCCGCAGAAAGTACCACTGTTGACAGAAACTGGTTGCACAAGAAAGCGCTTCCAAAACCATTCGGTCAGCAGGTCCGCTGAATGCTGTAGGCACTGCGCCGTGTGCGCTCTGAATCAAATTGTGTAGCCCGGCCCAATCCTTCATCTTGACGAGCTCACATCGCTTAAATGCTTTAACATACCAGGTTTGGGCCTGGCGCTCTTCTCCACGCTCGTGTCGACAGCCCACTTCGCGATTGCCACCGCTTCTTTTCGCAGGCCCGCCATGCCCCTAGCCAGGAAGTTGACATGTGGGGGCCCGGCCTTTGCAATCTTTGGCAATATTTGCTTGTTGCGGACGGCCGTCCGCACCCTGTTCCGGACCGCACGGAGAAGCTGGCCGACATAGTCGGCGTATGCATCGATTGCGGCGACGTGGTTTCGCTGATATAGCTGTCGCTGCAAGTCATTGCGTTCCTGAATTGCTATTGCATGGGAGGCTGCTAGCTGGGCGTTCGTGTCCTTGAGTGCTAAGTAGGCCTCCAGCCTCGTGTGTGCACATTGGATAAATCGGATAGCCCTCTGCAGGTGTCCCATTCGCGAGCTCGCGCTGTCCCGACTCTGCCTGCTCCTTGAGGATTGCGGCAGCAACCCATGTACCATCGCTGATCGCCTGAGACCCCAAAAGTAGTCTATCAGCATAGGTAGTGGTCCTTTCAATGACCCCGTTCTCGGCGCTGTAGTCTGGGCCCCCGGGAGCAGGTGTATGGCAACGTGGATGGGTGTTTCCGTTTGGGGCGGCGTTGGGAGGACTGCTAGACGCGGAGGGTATGTTGTGATCGTCTCAGCTGGACTGTCGCGGCTCCAGGTTCGCGTGGGCCCTGTTGACGTCGCTCGGCATAAGTTCAAGAGTCGGCCATGCTCGTCATTTGCGTTCTATGTTGGTAAGACGTTGGACCCTCTCATGGCTAGGTAAAAGTCGTAGGAAAACTTCACCGCGTAGTGTAAGGCAACTCGTGCATCGTCCTCCGCGCCCCTTCGAAAGGCCCCGTCGATGGCGCCGTCCGCTGCCCAAAGCATGTTGTGCAAGCCTTCCCAATCTCGCTTCTTGAGGAGGGACTGTAGGTCGGTGTGCGCTCTTTCACACCTTTGCCCATACGACCGTACAATGAACTCAAGCTGCTCTCCGCGCAGAGGAGGATCGGAAATCTGCCCGAACTGCCATGCCACGTTGGTCAAGTACAGCACCATGGCTTTGCCGGGGCATGCGCCCTTGTCCTCGCTGGGATCGAGCTCCCACATCATGGACGCGCGTTCTTGACTGTCCACCAACTCCGAGATCTTGCCCCAGTTGCCTTTTGTAAAAAGGTCATGAGGTGTGGTAGCGTTCGTGATGTCTGTAGGGCAGGCCACACTCGCAACATCCCGTCGGAGCTCAGACCGAATGTACCGAAGGAGGCGGCCGAGGTAGTCTCCATACCCGTCCACTAAGGACCTCTGCCGTATTTGGTCCCGTTCTCGCATCAGAGCATCGTTGTTGTCTTGTAATCGCAGATAGGCCTCCAGACGCGTGCGGGCAAGTGAGGTGAACCGAGCTGCCTCACTAACAGACTCAACCGTGGCTGTAGCTACCTGGTCCTGACCTCTGGCAGCATGCTCAAGAACCATATTGAATACCTCGCGTGTGCCACTGCTGAGAACCCGGGCGCCTCCCAGGAGTTTGTTCGCAAAGTTGGTGGCATTGTTGAAAATACCTATCTGCGCAGCGTTGTCTACGACTGACGGGCGGTGTCGGACTTTGGTGGTTGGGAGTGGTGGCATCGGTAGAATCGACAGTCTCTGCGGTGATGACATCGGCGTTTTGTAAGTTTGCTTGAGACGGCTTCATAAAAAGTCGTATGGAGAGGATATAGACATCAGTATGACCTCGGGTACAAGAGATAGGAACGACAAAGGACGAGGACAAAGACATCAACAATAAGGGCATAAAAAACCAAGGGCATCAAGAACAAGGACGCAGACGACGAGGACAACGAGGACGACAAGGACGACAAGGACGAACGGGGACGACGGGGATAAGAGAAAAGACGTGGGCAAGAACGATAGAGCCTAAGGATAACAGCTTAAATAAGGGAATGAAGAATAAGGACTAAGTCCTCCTATCCGCTCTTTCTATCTTAAGAATATCGCTCCTTCCTAGAAGCGCCCCTTGGAACTAGCAGGAGCGAATACGACCCCCTGACCCCCCTTCTTCCTGCCCTCGTCTAGTGTTTTCTGTCGTCATTGTCGTCCTTGTCGTCCTCGTCTTCGTCGTCCTTGTCGTCCTTCACGCCACTTCATTTGTTTTTCTGGCTTTTTCCAACAACATATCGACATACCACTCCAGCATGGCTACGAATCTGCCTAACCGGTCCAAACAGGACTTGAAACCTCGTTACCGCCTGAATTCGGCCTAGTTGGTTGCATCATACACGCACTTAACGCCCGGGGAGCAAAGGTTGGGCGACGATCTGATCCGCCTGCTCTGGGACAGAAATCGACTTCTACAGAAGCTCAAAGACGACAGCATCGAGCTCGAGCAAGCCCGCGAGTTGGTTTGGGGACTTGTCTTCCGCGACTGGAACTCAAACGATAAAACGCCCGCACCTGCTAAAACCCCCCGCACCCGCGAATATTCTCGCGTCAAGGTGCTGGTCGGCCACCTGATCTACGATACGCCTCCAGCAACGGCGCGTGACGAACGCCGAGCCGGCGCCGGGGTCTACACCAGGCCCGAAATCATCGCGGATTCCCACACAGTTGAGTTTCCCACGTTTGACTTGAGGGGCTTTCGACTCCCTGACGGCACCGATATCCTCTACACTCCCGACTACCTTTCCGATGTCAATAGAGATCGCAATCAGTGCGTCATGAACATGGACAAGGCCGAGCTCAAGCGCCAAGGTCGCCTCAACACACGCTGGGTAGTCTACTATTTGCGTCACAGACTGCGACTGTCCCTCATCAAACAACACAACGGACGCGATACCTGCGAGTTTGCTTGCGGCCTGGGCACCCGCAACACTGACGTCGACCCCCGAGACCAAACTCAACCTATCCTGTCACGGGATCAAGAGGATCTCACACCTATCGTCAAGGTTGAACTTTGTTCGGACTATTTGAACTGGTGGGAAGATGATACGAACGAGCTACAGGCCTACAGATTTGGAATGGGAGCCAACCATCAGTACCACGGTGTTTGTCCTAGCCGTTGTGCGTGTTTTTATTCCACTTGCTTGGATAAATGCTAACAATAAACCACAGCGCGCTAGCAACTGCAACAGAAGCTAGATGGCCTTTAGAAGCAAGACTACAGAGCAATAGAATTTTAGAGATAAAAATGTGTTGATACGTGAACTTGATCTACCGCTTGCCAGCGACAAACTCCGGGACCAACATTCAACACGCTTCGTATGAAACATGCCTCAGAACTGACCTGGAAGATCCGAGCTTAGCCTCTCCAAGGTACGATGACTTGCCAATGATGCCTGTACTCATACTGAAAGCCATCTTCGTATTCGTAACTACCGAATCTCCCAGCCACACGAAGGAATCTCGTCCGGCGTAATTCTCACACGTCGCTCACCAGCTAAATGGCCCGAGACCCATATCAGGTATGCCAAAGAGGTCATCTTCACCGTCAGTGCGACGTCTGGGCCTCTGCTCCCAGTAATCCTGGAACACGCTCATCTCCACAGCCTCCTTTGTCGGGTACACCCTCCAGAACGGGTCATCGTAACCATTGAATATGTACTTGTTCACCAAGAACAGGGACTTCTCCTTCTTATTGACCCCTTCGCTTAAAATAGACCGCAAGCTCGCGTCTTCCGCGCGGTGCAGCCTTGTCGTGAGAAGGTTCCTGTCGCGGCGGAGGTGGCCGGCCATTGCGTTGTACTCTCCACGCAAGAGCTTGTCCGTGTAGCGGTTGAAGTCCCTTTGCCTGCGGCCGCTGGGCGTATTTTCCTTGAGAATTTGGAGGAAGTCAGCACGCTCTTGTCCGTACTCTCTGTCAGTCCATTCATCTTCGCAGAACAGGTGTGCGATCCTTTTGATGGTGTCTGTTGATGGGGTAAGTGGACGAACGGGAGGGGGGCTTGGCTTCTGAACCGGAGATTGGGCGGGATCCTGCTCGATACGAGTTGGTTCAGGGTTCTCGTTTGTTTCCCAAGGTCCGGTCGTCGGTACTGCGTTGATTGACGTTGGCTGTTGTGCGAGAGGCAGTATCGAATTCTGATTTCTTGCCATCGGGTCCCGGTCCTCAGCTAAACTCAAAAGCCCGGGCGCCGAAGCCTCAAGTGATATTGAATCACATAAACCTGTTGATGTTGGATCCTCGGGTTCAGGCACTGTTGGATCCCACGGCCCAGGCGCTGACGAGTCCCATGATACAGGTGCGAATGAACCACATAGCTCCGAGAATGGTATTCCAGACGCTAGGAAATCCCACGGCCCAGGTGCAGTCGAATCCCACGGCTCCACTGCTGGAACATTAAGATCCACGCACGTGGATTTCCAACTTCTAGGAGTCGACCTCTGCCCCCTTTCCAACTCTCGCTTTTGCTTCCTTTCCAACTCACGCTCACGCTCATACTCCCTCAGCGCGGACTCATAGTTCGACATGAGTAATGCTTCCTCCTGCATTCCCCGCAAGAGCTCATCCCAGGTTGGATTCGTTCGCGTGCGGATGTAATCCGCGCAGTGACTATCACTCCTAACGCCGCACAGCTTGTGGAGCGCTACTGGCAAGTCGTCCACATGACAGTCCATGTACTTTAGGACATAATGATCGCGAAAGATTTGGCACAGCTCGGCGATGAGATCGTGGTACTTAGCTTCGTCTTTGAAATACCCCCGTAGATCTTTCGTGTGATCGCGCACGTCGCAGCGATAGTCGTCCGTGGTGTAGCGCTCGTTTGTTCTGGTGTCTGGGAATAGGCCTTCGTGGGCGGATTCCTTGAGGTCCTTGGCCTTCTCCTCCGTAGCTGGGCAAAGGGGCCCGACAGAGGAGAGTTTGAGAGTTTGGTCGGCGAGGGCGATGGCCTGCTGGAAGAATAAGATGTCTTCGGGCGAGATGGGAGAGTGTTCCATGATGGGTGCATGTGATGATACTGCAGACATGATGGTATTTGGTAGGTGAGATGAATGTACAGGCTGAAACTCGAAAGTGGTGAGAGGGTATGAGTTAATTTTCTCAATTTGCCCGATGAAGAGGAGAGCAACTTCATGTTTATAATGATATTGAGGCTATCGGAGATGGAGGTTGTCCGCCAGGGTGTGAGCACTGAAGTGCCGTGGCCCACTTATGCAAAGCTGAATCTTCGTTGCCAAGGGTAGACCAACTATGTTTGGTCGACCTTTACGAGCCAATCATTCTCATTCTAGGTGCCCAAAGGACGGATGGATTTCACCTTTGAAGTACAGAAATGCCCCCGCCGTATAGAGGCGAGCCGTATTATACCTACTAACAATGGCATGTCGTGTATCGTGACCTATGCTGAGAGATTCATATCTGTTGCTAAGAAGTTGAGAGGGTTCCGTGCTGCTACAACCTAAGCCAGAAGACTGCAGCAAGCTCATGGAACTGAACTACGAACGGTGCGCTTCGGGTTTCGCACAAAGTTGCTCATACCATTGAGACTCTCAGAAGGTTGCCACTCGATTGGTAGATGGAGAAAGCCTGTGTTCCGCGATGCCTTCCAATATCTGTACATAGGCTATCTGTTTCAAGCTATACAACCACGTGGGAGCCGAATTTCCTTCCTCCTCAAAGTCGTTACGTATGCTACATGTACTTGCAGAGATAGCATTTTAGTATTGTCTCATAATCAGGCATATACTGGGGATAGGATAACAGCAATAGTAACAACGAAGACAACAACGGCGACAGCGGCGAAGATAATTCTAACGAGGGGTTTCACAAGAATACCTAGTACAAAGCGATAAGAAGTCCAACTGCTTATGGGTATTGGTCAGCCCGGCTAAGTATCCGCCCAGCTAGCAAAACTCTTTTGGACACCATAACGATGACACTCCTATCTCAGTATCATTCACTAAAAACCCATGCTCCTGTCAAATCTCCGCTGTTCCCTCTTGGCCACCCCATCCATGTCCTGGCACTTCCCTCTCCACCACTCAGATTGATAGCGTTCTATCTCCCAATCACCCCATTTCTTGATCTCACTGACTGACATTAGGATGATGTGAACCTTTGGCCGTGCCTTTGAAAATACCCGCAGCACTTTCTTCGTAAAGTTACTGTCCGCGATACGGAGCTCCTTCAGCTTCGGTGCTAACTCCGGACGTTGCGTCAACGCCTCGAACACCTTGTCGTGGCCGGTATTCCCCTCGCATCGTGTAGCCTTGCTGATGTGTAGATGTGTGAGATCAGGGCAATGCTCGCATAGCGCGAGGAACGACTTCTCCGTGAGGCCCGAGGCGCCTGGTAGATTGAATGTTTTGAGTTTGGGACAGGCTTGGGCGATCTTGACGATGTCATCGTCTGTCAATTTCTCGGCCGAGTTGGTGGCGCCGCTGTCGACGTCGTGAAGGGTAAAGGAAAACTTGGTTAGCCGTTCGCAGGTTTCCGTGAAGGAAAGAAGTGTGTCAATGTGTGCCCTGGGGATAGAGTCAGTCCCGGTTTGGATAACGGAGATCTTACAACTTTGGCATAACCCGGCACTCCGGATGACTAAAGCTGTAGGCAGAGACAACTCACGGCGTCAACATGTCCCAAAAGCTGATCTCTCTAGTTGCATGGCCAAGCCACCCGTCGCGTTCTTCTTGCCACTGCTTCTCATGCCTGAAGCACACTCTAGCATTGCCTTTGGGCCCCTTTGGTCGCGGTGCTCTCGTAGTCTTCGGCGTGGAGGTTTGCTTCTTCCTCTGTGCTGGTGATGCTAGCTGGAAGCTGAGATCATCATCGTCACTGAAGTCGTCGGCGTCAAAGTACACCGCCGCGGCGGCGTTTTGCGCAGACGACTGGCTCAACGTCTGCTGGCCGGGCTCTGGCTCGGATGTCACCGAGATGGGACATGCTATCTTGTCATTATTCGGGGTGGATGAATGGGGTATCCCAGGCGTAGCGCCGGTCGCGGGGCGGCCAGCCGGCGCAGCGGCCGCGCCGGACGGCTTGGCTTTGACGCGCCGGTTGGCACCGGACACAGCGGCACGCCGTCTGACACCGTATCTAGCGGCAAGAGTTGCCCTTCTGTCCGCGTCGAGCCTCCTCAGCATTCGTGACGGCGGCATCGTGATTTTTCAAATTGAAGTGCGATTTGAGTTTTCAAGCCGGGACGTTTTTTTTCGGCGCGTGGTGTTGAAAATCCCTGAGAACTCGGCCCCTGAGAAAAAGAAACCACTCCCTGAACAATCTACCTTAAATCAGATAACTCTGGTGGAGAATTGCGCACGTCGCGGCGCCCCTTCATTGGCTAGATTAGCCTGGGTTAACATGACATCATCTCCATAATTCCTCGAGCCGAACCTTGTTCTCAATACGATGCTCGTTTCTTTTTTACCTCTCTTTTACTCAAACCCATCACTAAACAGGCAACATGACTCTAGTTTGGGCCTCTTAGTGTTTGTGGGACTGTAATGCTACATTTACGTGATCTCATCCCGAAAATGGCATGAACCGATTGACGGTGAGGTAAACGCCTGCAGGCTGTCGACGGAGAGAATAGAAATCTTCGATGTACACGAACAAACGGCCACAAATATAAAAAAAGAGGAAAATGGACATCGGCACACTAATGCGAAGTGGTATCCCCATATCTGGGTCTTGGTTGACCGATGTGTTTCTCCATTTCATCGCCCAGCGGTGCAGCCTATTGAATATGCGCTGTTTAAGTTTTGGCGAGTTTTGCGGGATAGTTGCTTCCGGATCGTTTGGCATTGCCGCGTTCTCCGCTAACTCGTGCTCGATGACGTGTCGATGCGTTTGGTTCTCGTACTTCGCGTTGTTACGCCGATGCCACATGCAAATATCAACTGCGTAGTACAAGCCGCCTTGTATGCAAAAGAAGGCGTGATATGAGGCGAAAACCCTCCAGAGAAGCTTTTCTGTATCGGTTGGGAAGTAGAATTTCCAAGCCAAGAGAAAAGACAAGCCAAAGAAAGTCATTACCAAAGCTCCGAGTAGCACAAAAACCGGGTGTGCAGGCTCCCAAACGTACGGCGGAACTCGATCCCATAGCTTCTGGTTCATAGATCTGGAAAGCAGTTTGACATGTATGATTTCCAAGAAACGATAGTAGTATGCGAAATGAGCACCGAACAGCCAAGGGTGCCCTCTCACAAAATGAACAGGCGTTCGGTACCATTCATCTTCGTTGAGGTTAGGGTGCGTCTAAACACTTAGTTCAACATCAATCAACCCAGGGGCGGAGGGAAACGAACCTCCAGCTTGGCTCTGGTACGAATCTCGCTCACTAGTTTTCCATTCCTAGTATCGATATATACGGGCTGGCGGATGGTTGGTTTCCAATACCAGCACGCCGAGGTGAAGACCGTAACCGAAACGAACGATAATGCGGTCAGCTCCAAGGTGGTCATCGGAAGGCCCTTGTGTATCCGCGAGAGCTGGCCAACACTAAACCATATAACTTGGAGAACAGTGAGAACTCTGGGAGCACATCGTCAGCTCCTGTGTATCGCTATCACATGGCTACCAAATGCCACCTCATGGAGATGCCAGAGACATGAGAGGGGTCAGTACCTACCTAGATAAGGTGTCTGCGGTGTCAGTCTTATCGACCTTTAGAGATTCCATATTGGGAAACTCTACGTGCTCATGTTTCACTAGGTAATGAAGTTCTTCGGCAGTAACTGGGAAGCCATCGGGAAAATCTGGGCTTTTCAAAAATAATCCGCCCATATCGACGAAGAAAGCATAGCGATACGTCCATGTGGACCCGTTGCATAGATGTGCATCGCGTTTAAATAACTATAAAGTCAGTAAAATAGTCACGGACTCTTAGTGCGCGTAACATAGCTACCACGTACCTTAACACTTCTTCGTGCACTTGACAATTGCCCTAGGGCAAGTCCAAAAAGAAAGTCGGGTCCCAACAGACCTAGTAGAGCCAAGTGTAACTTATCGAGAAAGTGATGGTACCACCTGTCTGAAGGCGATGAGGCATTGGGATGCGTAGAAACCCAGCAACAGAGGATAACAGTGAAGCAACAGTCCCAAAGAATTTCAACACTCCCTCTGTCCCGTGAAGTACCCACCCAGCCATCCACAGGCGCATGGATGTCGACAACATTCCCGGTCTCTGATGACATTGTTCAGAACGTCAAAAGGTATCGCAATGGTTTCTGTCGTGGCTGGAGGTTGGAGCCTGGAGAGATGATAAGCCCCCTAAGACAAGTTGGTCTGCGGAGAGATACGGAATTTTTCTGATCCTGCGTCGCAGCCTTACGCGGCCGAGCAGAGGGAAAGATAAAAAGAACAACGGCAGGATCTGGATCCCCGCACTGGGAGACTTCAAGGCCAATCAAAGCATCGTAGAATGTGACATGTTCTCCATGCTGGAGGAGAAAAACTGACAGCCTGATGTTATCAGCGCTTACATAGGTTACATCACAGCTCAGCTTCGGGGGTCCTGTCTTGGCATGCGTAAGCGCCCGGTCTTTCAAAGGCCCAGCACGGAAAAGCACTGAGGCCCCGTCGGGAACATCGCATGTGCGGTGACCCCTCTCCCCATCGTCCATGTCTTTTCTGGCAGCCTTGACAACTCGAGTGAAAACATGTTCTGCCAGACATGGCAAAAGAATATGGAGGGACTGAATGAGCACTAGGATTGCCGGCATGCTAGCATTGTTCGCTTGTGCGCAGTCTATCTGGACTCGAATCCAACTTCCCACGTACTTTGAATCACGTCGGATGGTCCATCCGCTGCGAGCAATATTGTCTGTTCTCGATGGAACCGATTGCCCGACCGCTGTCCCAACAACACCATGATCGATTCCACCCCTGAGCCCTTCACCTTCAAACAGAGCACCTCCGCATTTGTGTGGCGCTCAAGCTGTTCCTGAGACAGATAACGTCGGCCAGAGGATAGTCCGAACCACGAATCATCATCCGCTCCCTTCTCTACCTTTTCATAATTGTGCCTTTGACGCACCGGCTTCAGCACTAGAACCGCTGCATCCGCACTCACCAGCGTTGCCACGAACCCCTTGATTTGCAGCAGACCCCCGTTGCTCACCAGCCCGCAGCTCTCAATCGATGGGTGTCCATCAGCTTCAATCTCCAAGCGATTGTCCTTGACCCTGGGCATCCAGCACTTTCCAGACGCCGCGTTGGGCGAGCTGCACATCACTGTGAGATTGACACTTCGTCCCCTCATTAACCTGTCGTAGACGCCCGCGAAACCCAGACCGTAATCGACAGTTATGTTGTCCGGCAGATCGCCCACTAGTCCCATGTATCCGTACAAGAGGTCTTCTTCTCTCCCGCATTGTCTCTCCTTGTTGTTGTTCCACAAGGTTGGAATATCCGCCAACTTCACCTTTGGACTCATCGTGTGCCGGAGGAAGGGGTTCCATGTAGTGGCCTCTGCCGAAGAGCCGCCCTCTGTGTTGGCCGCCCACACCTTCTCCACCAGCCGCGTGACCGATCTGGCTCTGCCTCCTAGAGCTTCCACGATCTGCGCTACTGCGAGGTCCTCCATCGAGCAGAACCCCCAGCCGTTCCAAGCTATCGTCTGCTCGTTTAAAACGGCCTCTTGGAACGTCCACACCCTTTGACTCCATTTACTGATCTTCAACTGCTTGCCCAGCTGCCTGTAGCGGGCTTCCAGCCAGGATGTCAGTTTGTATTCGTCGCCTTCGGGCCCCTCTATCCATCCTTCTCGTCTGCCTCCGAGCGGGTCCGCCAATTGCATCATGGCACTCTGCAGCTCCGGCACGACGGCCAGCACGCCGGCCGCCTTCTCGTAGTAAAGGCCCATCTTCGGTATCTCGCGGGCCAAGTCGCCGGTGTCGTCCTGCTTCACGCACAAAGCGTCGATCCAAACATTGCCGATCCCCGTGTGCCGCATCGCCTCTTGGACGGTGCGTCGTAGGCCTTCTCTATCCGGGTGCTGCGTCCACACGTATGACAAAGCCATGTATTCGGTCGGGGCCCCGGCCGGCTCGATCACGTCCCACGACGAAACGTTGACCAGTCTGGTCGGCGCGAAGTCGGCGCTGTCGTGGCTGCGCAACTTTTCAATGATTCTGCATGCCATGGGCGAGCTTGTCCAGTTCTCCTTGACGTGCAGGACTCCGCGCTGCCAGCGTTTGCCCCGTCGCCGCGCTTCCTTACTCCTTCTGGTCATTGTGGGGGCTCTTATACTGGGTAGAAGGCTTGATTCGTTATTGCTGACTCTGAGCCTCTTCGGTGATGGGGTTGGTGAACGGCTTTGGAGAGTCGTTGGTGTTGGTGCTGGCAGCGCGTGGTGGGAGCCTTGATCGTCTGTTGATTCTGGGAGAGTGGCCCAGGTATGTATCAATGCAGAACACTTTCTGCTTATCGAATCGCTGAGCAGCTGACGCTCCAATTACAGGAGGAAGCCTTCCTCGGCTTTAATCCGGCCCTGGACGTTTCTGTCAATCTCCAAGCGGAGAAAGAAGAACGACGGGAAAACAGGCCGTTGGCACACCCAGCTGCTGCCACAGCCTGATGTGTAGTTCTATTTTCCCTTTCTGCCTCGCCCATTCTGTCAGCTTTGGTCAGCAACTTGGATTCTTGCATAGAGCGGGATTCTGACTGATAGGTATCTCAACCAATCCGGACTGGATAGCGATCAAGCCATCTTGAGAATCAAAGGCACCCTTGCAATAGTTGGCATGACGTCTGAAGGTGTTCACTCCACTCTACACAGGCACGTACAGATCGGAGAAGTATACCGAGAGACTTCATCTTGTCTTCGTAGTGTTTTGTACTGAAAGGCTTCATGCTACCGAGTGCATGGAGTCCAATAACTATACGAGTCGTAGCACAAAGGTACCCTGCTGCAAAACGTTGAAAGAGGACCCTATGTCTGCACTAACACAGAATAAGATACGCTGAACGGCCAGGTATCCTGATGAAAGGACTATCAACAATGGGCATCACATACAATATCCGTATGAGAAGTTTCTCCTTTCTCCCACTTTCTTATACAGACTTGATAGGAACAGGAGTTCCCCTTCCCCAATTTAGGTCCCAGCACCAGTCAGGATGGCAATGGAAGTCCCCTACTCCCTGTTTCATAGACAGAAATATCAGATGTATTTCTTATTATTCATCTAATGTTAACCTTCTAGAATGTATTTGATTATTTGTATATCGTCTAAGGACTTTTCCCTCTTCTATGATACCCGCAGCCTCGTGGGGCATACCCCCAAGCTTGATGCCGGCAAAGGCAATATCTATTATCATCTTTCGTACAATTCACCAGCACAACGTACCACAATGCCTGCCAGTGGTGCTGCGCCGCCCTCCCCCCGTTGACGCAAGCGGAGGCCGAGGCAGAACAACACAACAGACCCATACGATGCATACGACCACAAGATGGACAGAAGACTTGATGTCAACGCAGGCTTCAAGCTGCAAGCTCGAAACGCAGCTCGCCTCCACAACAATCCGAAGGCGGCCTCAGTCCATCGGCTGGACTATGTTTAATTGGCAGAGTCCATCGACGATCTGCTCGACCGCAAAAATGGGATTGCCAACGACCTGCTCCCCATCCTGTGGCGCGTCAACCGCCTTGGTGACCCTATGGCGGACAACCAGAGTTATAAGCGGGCGCGCGACGCAGTCTTCAAACCAGTATTCCGCAACTGGAATACTAGCACGCAGGTCTGCCCGCCCAACCCGACTCGAGAGCGCCACCTCACTGACACCACTGTCCACGTCGGCTGGCTGGCGGAGGACGCCCCGGCAGCAAAAACGCGCCGCTGAAAAGAAAAAATGATGGCACTCCGACCAACCAAGCGCAACATCAAGGGCATCGCTGGCGGGCCGGTCTTCGTGAAGGTTCTCGCTGGTTTCCCAAATTCCCGATCGATCAGCTGGCTTTTACGATGGTGGATGAGAACGGGTCAGTCTTCCCCAACTCGATTGTCGTGACCCACGTCCCCGACTACTATCTTCCCCGCCTTCGGACTGAGGCTACGATGAAATGGGACGATGCCGAGTAAAAGCGGTACGGGACCACGAACATGGAATGAGTGGTGTACTGGACGAGAAATCTGCTGACCCACGGCAGGCACGCCGCCGTTCACGGCACGTCCCCCAAGAAAAAAGAACATCCCCCTCACCCCTCAATCCTTCACCACCCCTATCCCGGATCAATCATCCAGACGACATGTTGAAGCTTGTCAATATCGACCTGTACGTCGACCTACTCCATGGACCGTTCTTTCCTGGCTACCCGGGCGGGTAGTAGGTATCGATAACAATAGGGATAATAACGAAAACGGTAGCGACGATAATAGGGACGGGGACAATAGGGACGATAAAGACGACAAAGACGACAGAGACGATAGAGACAACAGAGACGACAGAGACGTGGAGACGACCGAGACGACAGGGGCGACAGGGTTTATAGGATGAATACATCATTAATATAAACTCTAAGACCTCGGCCAACTGTTATCCGCTTGGTAAGTAAGACTCTCCCGTTATATGACCTTAGACGACGACTACTTAAAGGCTCTGCTGATAGCTGAATGGCAGCTGACGGACCAGGTGGTTGAGATGAGCATCTTCTAGAGGCGCTGAAGAGCTTCGCTCGCCCATGAAGCGGCATAGCCAGGGAGACTGAGTTGGCTAATGTGTGATCGGACCACGTCAACCTCGTGATATGAGGCGCAAACCAGCCGGTTTTGACCCAGGGCTCCAATTCGATTCTGTGCAGCCTGTCTGCTCTACTTCTGTCCAATATTACGGACACCGCGAACTTTCCGTAGACGGTCTACCGAACGACAAACTCATGCGACGTCTCAACCATGGGGGCTTAGCCTTAGTACAAAACCGACTCGCTAGGACAGGGGAACCATGCTCAATCGGTGCGCAATGCGGGAGGTACAAGCAGGACGACCCGGAGTGGGTAGGTAATAAGCTCAATAGAGTCAGAACGATTGGGGTCCGAATAGATTGGCTGAGACGTGTTCATCCAATGTCAGACACGAGGGCGCCCGGAAGTCTCCGCCGGGGCTATCAAAATGAAACTGGGGAAGGACTCTAACACCTTCAAGGGTTGCGTGCAACTAGCACCACATTACTCGTACTCAACTACCAGAAGGACCAAGATCAACGGAAAGCGTACCGTGGGAAATTCTACCACTCTAATTTTCGTTTTCTTCATATCCGTAAATTCCGACACAAGCGTGCCTACACGTAGTAAGTATGCGTGATACGTGACTTCGTGTGGTTTGGTGCAGCTCCCCTGGCTTAAATCTTCGACGAGAACGCCAGAGTTGTTCCGCGTTTAAAGCGACAATTGATCTGGATCATACCTACCCGCAGAGGCTCAATGCGCCCATCGGTTGCGGGAGCAAAGTTGTGGAGTTCGCGGCGTGCCAAGCGGTTACAAGTCGCCCAAATGCGATCATGACTCAAAGACATTGACTTTTCGACGGCCGCAATGAGGACCGTGACCCGTCGTAAGAGGTGTCTCTACGTGGGACTTTACCTTAGGGATCTACTATTTTTAATAATGTCGAAGTTATTAAAGACGTGCATGTCGGCCTCAACAATTGGTGAAATCAGTTAGCTACCTCAGCCACTCTTTCGCACCACTCTCGCTTTGTAACCTTGATACCCATTCACATCAACGACAACATGAAGTCCTCAATTGTTTTCGCCGCCATCGCGTCCTTCCTTGGCGCCGCTTCGGCTGTTGATCTAGTCTGCTATGGCACTGGCGTTCCTTCACCTATCAGGAAGGGCGATATTGAGTTTGCTATCAAGAACCGGCCGACTGAGCTGGGCATTCCCGGAGGCACAAAGTTTACATACCGCTTCAAAACTTGCATCGACCCTGAGAACAGTCCCAAGGAGGTCGCTGTAATCACAACACCCAGCAGTAAGTTCTACCACTGATTGTACATTCATGTTGCCGAAAGCAATTGGCCTTTGCCAACTCTTCTGTCATCAACGGGCTTTGCAAGTCTACCTTGTCATCTCTCAACGTAGCTCGTACTGGTTTATTATACGAGTCAAATTTGCTAACAATGACAACCTAGTCACGAGAGAAGGATCGGTCAAGCTGGCGAACGGCGTCATCGAGTGTAGCACTGACGGGCCCCCGGACTCCACCTGCTAAGCGTGGATGATTGTCCTTTGAGCGCTGCTGTTTTTAGATATCAAATTCATTCCCAACAAATTCTCCTGGGGTCGCTTTCTTGAAACGTTCCGATTGGTGGCTACTGAGTTGTGAACACGATTTAGAGAACACATAAGGCTTGACGCCCTAGATTATCTGCTGCTGCCAAATTCCTTGCTCCTCTCCTCGCATCTCAAGACTTGACACCGCCTGCATTGTGCCGGATTTCCTGGTACATTTGCTCCTCTCCAAGATACTCCGCATCATATCTGAATCGGTCCTTCGAAACAGTAGTCGGGAAAGAGTCCGTTCTTCCCTTCCATCTGCCCGCATATCTCAACTCAAACAGCATGCGCATGACTTGCAGATTTTCATCTCGCTCCCATCTCTTAGCTTTTGTCGCTCCGTATCCTGATTTCTTCTGCAGAAAGATCGTCGTGGGTTCCAGGACAAACGAGAGTCCAATAATTACGAATCCCACTGCTAGTAGAAGCGATAGTCCCAAGATGGAAAAGTTGAGTGTCCCCTGGGCATCCCTGGTAATCTGAGACTTACACATGGCTTCGTGTGCAACTTGTACCTGCTCTTGGGCTTCCGAGCTGTTTGCGCTGGCATTCCAAGCTTTGAAGATCGATCCTGGCACAGCAATTGAGGGGCCCGTGGCATACTCCGTCACTTGGTGCTGTAGCTTGGACAGAGCATCGGCGAAAAGGCGTCCCATCTCCCTCTTCCACTGGTCGGAAGGCAATTTGAGCTGCATCAATTCCGCCACCAACTCTTGTGCCTCGAGAAAGCTCTGTGTGCGTGTCCATATCAAATGGTAGAATGATGATATCGAAAGATGGAATAACAGTCGCTCTACAGTTGCCAGTTGTACCGGATCGAGCTCCAAACGCTCTTCTCGCGCGCTAGACATAATCTCGCCACTTCCTACCAGAGAAGTGCAGATGCCGTTATTGGGATTGCAAATCTCATGCCTGTCGGCACAAGCAATAGGGCTTACGTATCGGTCGGGTTGATAGTAAGTGGTACCACCCTCAGTATCCACAGGAATATTGGCTCCAAAAACAGGATCGTCATTTGGTTGCAGATGAAGGACTGAGTTGGGTGCGATGAACATCAGTGTGATATCCCTGTGGTCGAGGGCCAACGCATCTATCGGTGTCCAGAAGTTGTCGGTTCTGTGGGCGAATGAGACGTAGACTCCAGTGCCATATCCAGTGTGCATGTTCTGTCCATACTTGTTATAGATATGCGTATAATTCCGAGATTGCAGGTTCCCATATAGATACTTGACCAGAACGTTGTCTTCCCACCCGAAAGTCTCTGCTTCGCTTCCGTTCACATCTCGGGCGAACCTGGACCCTGTGATGAGTGGAGCACACACGGTTTCTCTTCGGTAATTGACGCGATATTTTTCAGCCCGGTTGATACCCAAATGCGATTGTGAGTTGATCACCTCCGACTCCATTTTGAAAGCGCTGGCTCCGGTGGTTCCCACGCAGATGTCGCCCGCAAAAGGACATTCGACAGATGTTCCCGTCCAGCGTATCGAAGAGACGGGTAGACTGTCGCACGAGGCCGCTGAAGAGTTTGTGTAGCACTGTCGAGCATAGACTGAAGCCATGGAGTTGTCGTAGGTTGATTTCTGTTGGAGAGCGTCCCTGTCCGCCGGTTCAAATGCACCACAATCGCCCGCAGCCAATAATCGGAATTGTGTGGCACCGTCCGAGATACGAGACGAGAATATGGCTGCAACTGCAAAGATCGCAACATATAAGACTCCGCCAATGGCCCATGGAAGTGTTCTCAAAAGTGGGTAGTTCGCATGGCCCCGCCAATTCCAAGCCTGACGGAGGAACAGCCCAGTGGCGGCCATTGGTGTCGGTGTATTTCGGAGAATGAGTTGTCGTTGGTAGTACAATCCGTCATGTTCACCCCCAGATGCAAGGATCTGATGGCATACAAATGTGACAATCCTCCAGAGTCTCGTTGCGACCACGGTGACGAATGTTGCGATGAAGGCAAGCAGAAGAGCCCCGTCGCGGGCGGACATGGTGATCGTGGCGCCTAGAACTCTACCATGGCTCCAGTCAATCCAGACTCCCGTGTGAATTTCCTGAGACATGGTCACCAAGTTCGTCGACGGCAGGTGGTGGTTGCTGTGCAATGGGCGACCTCGCTGCTATTGTTCACGGACTTCGTTCAAAATCCTACCGGGCCATATCACTCTTAAAGAGTCGGACCCGGAACAATTTACTGAGTCAAAAGCCCGCCCTCGTGACGATTTCCGTACTGCTGATTGGAATGGGTTGTGATAGCTCCACCACTCCTCTGATTCGATGCCAAGAAATGTGGCTGAAAGCTGAAAATGCATCACGCTACGAGTTCCGCGAAGCGCCTTGGCAACTCAAGACAGGGTGCAATGCGCGGCGGGTCCTAGAGCACCTTACATGGGTGTGGTCTTTCTGAGTTCGATCACTGTCGCATCGTATTACAACCGATTTTTGGGCGACGCGCATCCGGACTATTGCTTCTCGCAAATGACCCGCCGGTAGTTAAGACGAAGATATCTGGAGAAGTTCTCTTTCTCATCACGGTGTTGTAAATGATGAGCCACTTCAACGGATGCTCGGAGAATACTCGTACCGAGTAGGAACCGGTTCACCGTCTCTGGGAATGTTGTCTACTGAGCCAAGAGCTTGCCCAGAAAAGGAATTATTTCCGTCCCTTGGCCTCGCTTAAGATTTCCGAATATGCGACCCATTGGGTACAGCATCTCGAGCGTACCTACAGAATGAGGTTCCCATAATTATCGCACAATACTTTCACGTGCGCGTAGGAGCACCCGACCATGCAAAACCCTAAAGCAATTCTTCGCGGTGGCAAGCCTGCATATATTACAGCAACAATTAGGATTCCTCCAACTTCTCGAGCCGAGTACGGGTCTTCTGTTCGATTTCGGAAATTGAAAATTGAGGTCAGATTAGCGGGCATCTCGAAGACAAGAGCGTCTCAACCCCAGACATGGGGCGATAGAGTCACGAATCAGAGGGTCAATAGAAAAGAAAGGCACGATAGGGACAAAAAGAACGACAAGAACGAGAGGTCCTGGGGCGGTAGTGCTCCGCCCAGTCGCTCAGCAGACTCAAAATCAATGCCTGTTTGAGGATAACTATGCGTCGTAATAAGAGACCGAGATATTACTGAGAAGTCATGATATGCCTGATGCGTTCCAGCTGCTCCTTGGCCCGACCGATTTCAATCTCCAGGCATTGTCTAAGTTCCGGGTTTTCCTCGCTTTCCATTGCAACATTCTCGTCCCTAATGATGTCGAAAGATGTGCTCATAAGACCAAGCTCATTTTTAATCGAGTCCTGGAGCTCCTTCTGGAATTCATCTGCCAAAGTCTTCCATCTTCTTCGGAACTCTCGCATGTGATTCACAAAGAAGTCTTGGCTCTGCACCGTACCGTTGATGATCCCCTTTCGTCGTTGGTCGCTTCCCCTGCCTACATCGAGTATTAGCCACATGAAGAAGCACCGGAACAGAGACCCAAAATATCATACCATACTCCATGTTACAGCGCCTGTAAGATTCTTCCATTGCCTGACCGACGATCGAAGTCCGGATTCCTGTAAGGGCATCTACTTCCAGGGCACTTTCAGAACAGTTAGCATAGAGCCAGGCTTGGTTGAGAAGAATACCTCACCGAACGTCATCCTGGAACGTTTCCCTCAAAGACTCCATCCTGGATAAAGTTTGACTGGTACGCGCAAGCAATACCTCCCCAATTACATCGTTGACTTCTGGGAAAGCTTCGAGTTCCGTAGCTTGCAGGCAAGCGATCAGCAAACGTCATTCGTAAAAATGAAAACTGCTGAGGCCCTTACAGAGTAGTTCCATGGCCGCATCCATCTCATCCTCAAGATTTTCAACATCTGCATTGAGTCTACCCTGGACTGACGAGAGCATCTGCTTCCATTGCGGAGTCAAATCTCTGGCCATCTTGGCAATGATGTCCTGATTCCAATCATGAGGCCCTACGGCGGGGGTGCAATAATTCCCGTAGTTACGGCAAAAAGCACTGTAAGTCTCTGATTATTCAATCAGCGGACAGCCAAGGCATTGCGACAGAACCTAGACTCACGATGCGCCCACTACAATCATTATCAGTCAGAATACTTCACAGACTGGCTCAGTCTACTCACACCGTACCATTCTCGCGTTGCGTTTACGGCTGTTCTCCTCCATCGATCTGTTCGTTGATCTAGATAGCTCCAATAAGCCCCTTAGACCGGGATGATCAGGAGACTAAAGTGACCCTACCATCGTACACCTGGTTCTGGAAATGCTCTCTGGTTGCTCTACCCACACGTCTGAGATCTGAGCCGCGGCCTGTCAAGTTCTACTAACCAGTCAGTAAAACACGAGCCAGCGATGTCGGCCTTTCAGCCTACCTCTCTCAGCTGACGCTCTATCTTGTCCAGAGTTCTGCGAACCGCCGATTTCTGTTCCGCATTGACACTTCCAGCTCCAGACTCAACCCATAATGCGGCCTCTCCAAGCAAAGCAGGGATGTCATTGGTGACAAATTTGGTGGCAAGTCTCAACTGACTCTCCGCGATGATGGAGAGACAGTGTTTCCGCAGAGCAATGATTCCGCTCAGCTGCAAAGAGGGGATTGCCTCGTCTTTCGGTAACATGGTCTTGGACCAGTACTCCGTGTTGCTGATGCAGAAAACATGAACAATCCCACCCCGGACCTTGTCTCGATAGCTAGCTTGAAGCTTCTTCGTAACCTCTGCGTTTCGAGTCTCGACCAAGAAGGTTTTGAGACTAAGTTCGACAGGTTAGCGAAAACAACGACTCGCTACCGTCCTGGTAATCTACTTACTTATGTAGTTTCTGTTCATAATTTTTCCTGAGCCGTATCATCAGCAATCTGGATCGCATTAGGTAGGGAAGTCGTACTCTTCCTTTCTTAAGTCCCGATGGAGGTCATACACCTCGTCCTCCTCTTCTTTTGTGAGATCTTCATCATCGTACTCGTCCAACAAACGTTTGATGTCATCAATTTGGCCCCTGGCAGTCGCAACTTCGGCGCTCAGCTGCTGTATACGTTTCGCTCGCTGACCCTTCCAGTCGTTCTTTGCCTCCGACGCTTGAATATCCTGAGCATTTAGTATTAGCAACATTGAATCACGATTGGGTATCAGCACAGCCTTACATCTGATCTAGTGCAGACGATTCCCACGTTACTCAGACCGGCTCTTCGCGCAAGTTCAAACACGCTCGCCACGCCTACATCTGTCGTTGCGCGGCCAATATTGCATACAGCAAACACCTCGTCGCACTCGAGTAGGTATCGTTCTGTAATGCTTCTTCGCGCAGAGTTCAAGTCTCGAAGTCCTTGATCAAGGCATGAGTTATCCTATGTGTAATCACAATTCTGATGGTGTACTTACCAGGAAGGTCTACGAGAACCAGTCCCTTGCTGAGTATGTGCGCGTCGAGAAATACCCTGTGGCCTTTGAGCAAGGATCCCTCACCACCTCTTGTAGCAAAGAATCGCCTTACTTGATCTTTCGTACGAAAGGCCAGATTGCCGGGCCTTGTGACCCAGGCGTTTCGGATGTAAGTTGTATTAAGAAGTCTGAGCAGCTTTCTTTGGAGCTTCTGTTGTGACTTCCCCCAAGTTCTGGAAAGCCATCCTCAAGCCAACGTCTGAAAGTCCACAACACAAAGCCTTCCGGCTCTGTAGTAAGGAATGCTTCGTTTCCAAGTCGCCCTCGGAACAGGGCTCGAAAAGTGTCCCGAGCAACACCGGCGTGCTCCTTAGCCTCCTCCAGCCCATCTGCTACAGTCATCTCTTCTGCATGTAAGTGGAATCTGCGGTACGATTGCAATAGATGAGTGACTTGTTCCATCAAATCGTCTTGAGTAAACAGCTCCACGTCAACTTGGAAATCATCCCTCATGTCGTAATGATACTCCGTGACAACACAAGTACAGGCCGCTCCACTATTGCTCTGTAAAATAATTAGTGAATATCTTAGCCTCTTGCCAGAATTAATGCCTACCGTTCTTGCCAGGCCCTCTTGATGTAGAAGAGAGTTCAATAGACTGCTTTTACCTGATGTGTGTTAGCCGCAGGCGGTGTTTTCCGTTAGATGGGCAATTTCTTACCGACACCAGAGTCGCCAACAAAGCCGACAGTACGAGTCGGGGGGCATTGAAACCGGGACAGATCTTTGGCCCGCTTATGCAGCCTCTTGATGGCGGAGTCCGGATCAACGTGGAGTGGGCTGCTTCCTAGAACCCGAGCCAATCGAGACATGAGCGTCTTCGCTTCTAAAAACGCGCTTTGCACGTCCGGATGGTGAAAGCGATCATGAGGCAGCTCTTCGTCTTTCACGTCGTGAGGAGCTTGATTTGTTCTCGATACCCTGCGTGATCGACGAGGCGGGC